TAAGGGTAAGCAACAAATAATTTTGACTTAACGTCAAAAGTGAATTTGTATATCAATTTTTTTATTTCCATAGGAAGCACTTCAGTATACCCACTAATTTTCTTCACATATTCCAGAAAGTAATAAGTCCGTGCTTCAAAATTAGTCGAAGGAAAAGAGAAAATTTCTTTTTCATCATTTCCCTTCTTTTTAAAATTATATGATTAGATTGCGAATCTGAAATAAATTTGAATAAATAATTTTGACACCCGGTTTTTATACAAAGCTCTTATTTCACGCAGTAATGTTATATATTGTTAAACTTGTCTCGATGAGTACTTTTCAAATATATATATATCACCTTTAAAAAGTAGACATAACTTCGTGAATGTCCTTTATAAGTTACAAGCTACGCGGACTTCTGTCCTCTTTAAACGTCGTTTACGTAGTTATTCGCAAATATTCGCAGAATATGTTTTTATGTTCTAATATTAGATAAATAGGGCTATAATATCATATGAGCTTAACTGAATTTCGTTGAATTGACCACTTTTTCCATAAGTGAATAAAAAATGTCACTAACCTATGTAGTAACTCTTATAAACTGATTCTAAAAATGTTAATTTACAGTTTTTCATAATTTATTGGTATTAAGTATATTCTACAAATCTCCAGAAGCTGAATTCATCTTGAGTTATATATTTAATACCTCAATATGAATACAGAAACTTATTTCGAATTTGACGATTTTAGACTTTTATGACACAACGCTCATGTTAGAGGTAGTGTCAACACAATGTGATGCTTTAAAGGGATTAAAATCATTGATTTGTTTTCTCTGTTTATTCAACTCCAAGCTAGCAAGCATTTTAACTCTTAAAGTCTACTTTTATTTTTTAAGTTTTGGCTAGGATTTAATTGAAATTTGCCACTATGCGCCAAGCTGACGGCTATCATGGGACCGTCCGGTGCCGGCAAGTCAACGTTGTTAAACATCTTGAGCAGCTTTCAAAAAGGCTTGTACACGGGAACGGTGAAGTACCTTAATAGAGCCAACATACAAAATCACGACATTTGCAAGAAACAGCGGCGCTATATTCAACAAACGGATAATCTGCATGGCCATTTCACCATACAGGAGATCATGATGATAGCAAGCTACTTGAAGATAAACAAGAACAAGTCAAGGCAAATGCAGATAAACGATATCTTGAACACGTTGACGTTATTCAGATTCACAAAAAAAACTTGGCGCACCTGGATTGCAATAATTATTTCAATGATACCTACAAGTATTCTATACTCTTACTGCGAAATAAAATATATTTTAGAATTCTTTGCATCTTAATGTTATCCGAGCGTGCCAAGTTTTTTTTGTGAATCTGAATAATTTTATTTTTCTTTTTTCGTGTACTTGGTTATTTCAAATATAAGTTTGGAATTTGGAGTACGATATAGATTTAAAAAGTAACGCTGTTATAATGAGTAATAGGGACAAGTTACATTTACTAATGGATCACGAATAATGGTAACAAACTTGTTTAAATATATACCTAAAGAATAATGTAATATATGTAAAAAAGTAGGTACATAACAATGTCTAATAACAAATAAAGTGATTAGAAAAATGATATGATTAATCATAGTCACTTGGCGCGAATTTCCTGATATCATTAATTTTGTAGTTGAAGAATACAGTTTGTTGTAGGAATAATTTTTTAATATAATTGTTTGTACGAATTGATATCACTTCACTTGACATACGACGGTAAGAAAGTGTGCATGTGTATCTGTGTACACGACTCAGCTCAGTAACGATCAGATTTTAAGAAATATGTGTATGAAGCGGATAATATTATCTAGTTTTTATTAGTTTTTCTCTCAATAACTGGGGTGATATCATGTGTTACTGAACGTATACGTATTTGATTTTAAGAAGTTATAATTCAACGTCAAACACATAACGCTTCGATAATTCAACTACGATTGCACAATTATATCTCTCGCTGAGTTGTGTTTCGCTGCAATTCCAGACATATTCTCGTCATATCGTCGTCCACATGACAAGCCGCCGATATAATAGAAGAACGAAGGCACGGTCCGCCGTTCGCATACTGCCCAGTTCGCTTCCGACCATCGTTTCCGTTGCTTGTCGTCGAAGCGCCTACTCCGAATACGAACATCCAATGACGTCCAAACAGTGTGTCTTTTCTACGGAATAAAATTTCTTCAAACAACTTGCAATCACGACCGAGACGCCAGCTCGAATAAAAGGAATACTCGCACGAAGAGACAGTCTAATTGATACGAATTGCAAAGCAACATTGTGACTAAGTAGTAAATTGTGAGCGGAAATTTGTATGGTAAAAGTAGTTTTCGCAAGTGTCAACTGACGAACGATCAAGATCCATAATAATCCTGTCTCATTTTAAAAGGCTATTCTTGCCAAAATTTTATGCGTGTTAATGTTCAAAAGCTGCCGATAAATGTGAGTCAGCAGAAATTTCAAAATATTGTAATTGCACCAGACAGATCGCAAAAATATCCATCAACATTTAAAATAATTTAAATCATATAGTCTGGCATAATGGAGCAGAAACTCCATCTCACAAATATAACCTGCGATCAAGCGATCGACGTCAAGTTCTTGAATTTGTCGTACGCGGTCCGGACTAAGTATCGCAAACCGAAAAAACATATCCTCAAAGGCCTAAGCGGAATCTTCCGATCCGCCGAGCTGACGGCTATCATGGGACCGTCCGGTGCTGGCAAGTCGACGTTATTAAATATCTTGAGCGGCTTTGAAGAAGGCTTGTACACGGGAACGGTGACGTACCTCAACAGGGGCAACATACAAAATCGCGATATTTGCAAGAAACAGCTGCGCTATATTCAGCAGACGAATGATCTGCATGGCCACTTCACCACCCAGGAGAACATGATGATAGCGAGCTACCTGAAGATCAACGAGAGTATCTCGCACAAGTCAAGACAAATGCAGATTGATGATATCTTGAACACGTTGACGTTATTGGACGTCAAGGAGACCCGAACTGACCAGCTGAGCGGTGGTCAGAGAAAGAGACTGAGCATCGCCTTAGAGTTGATTGACAATCCGACGCTCATGTTTCTGGACGAGCCGACCACCGGTCTGGACTCTGTCGCGTCTATCCAGTGCGTCAACGCGTTTAAGACACTGGTGCAAACTGGCAGAACGATTATCTCTACTATACACCAGCCCAATGCAGCACTCTATGAGATGTTCGATCAAATTTACTTAGTGGTGGATGGTTACTGTATGTATCGCTCGCCGCCCGGCAATACGGTCAACTACTTCGCCCTGCAAGGCCTCCAATGTCCAATGTATCACAATCCCGCGGACTACATGCTAGAAGTGGTGTCTAAAGAGTACGGTGATTACGACGAACAGTTGATCGCGGCGGCCAAGTGGCCCATTGAGTCGAACAACGAGATAAATTCTATCACATCGTCGCGCGACATGGTCCAGAAGATATCCGACAACGATCAGATGGTTGCATTGAGTCCGCCCACGGAACTGATACGATTCTGGGTGTTACTGAAGCGCTACATGCTTTTGACATATCGTAAACGCGATACGGAGTATATATATCTATTCTGTCACATATTCGTATCCCTATTAGCGGGTATGATTAATGTGCGCGCTGGCAACGATGGCAGAAAGGTATTCAGCAACATCTCCTGTCTGTTCCAGACCGTTGGGTACGCGTACTATATTGGCTTTTTACCGGCGGTACTAAAGTTCCCTTTGGAGATCAATATTTTGCGAAATGAGCACTTTAATAATTGGTATCAGATGAGAACTTGTTATATGGCCATGTTAGTGAGCACAATACCGTTGCAGTCGGTCTACATCTTCCTCTGCACTTTTATCGTCTACTTGATGACCAATCAACCGTATGAGTTCTTTCGCTTCTCTATGTATTTCTTCGTACACATCTTAACTCTCTTCGTTTCTGAGGGTTTGGGTTTAGGATTAGGCGCGATTTTCAATCCTGTCAACGGGAGCTTCGTCGGATCCATGATCTTTTGCATCATGTTAATGCTCGCCGGCCTTTTTGACTTTTTTAAAGACATGCTTCCACTCCTGTACTACATCAGCTACTTGAACCCGCTACGGTACGCCTTCAATGGTGTAATTCAATCCATCTACGGCTATGGTCGTGAGAACTTGCAATGTCCGGATATTTACTGCCACTTACGCGTACCGAGTACGATATTGGAGATGCTTGATTTTGCTAAACCACTGTTTTGGTTCGACATTACCGTTTTGTTCGGCTATTATGTTCTGTTTCGAGTTTTAGCTTATTTATTACTAAAGAGACGACTATCGAAACTGTATTTAAAAAATTAGCATGTGAAGTACAGCTGTGTTATTATTATTATTATAGACGTTCATATTAAATTAATCAAAACGGAACTTGCATGACCGCAGATCACACGTGGTGAGATCTGTGGCTTCCGCAAACATATTTTTGGCATAATGCGTAGAAAGAAAACGTTTCCCAATAGTGGCTGACGCTTCGCCGATCGAATCACTTATGCGAAATCACATAGTTTGAATATGGATCTGACGATAAATTATTCTCACGCGTTCAATAACGCCTACTCATATAGGGTTTTACAATCGGCCCAGTACTAGACCAATAGTTATCGGAGTTCCAGTATTTGCGCAGCACTGGAAAAACTATCAGCGCAATACTGGTGTCAATACCGGATAATTTTGGTCCAGTAGTGGCAAATGATATTGGCCCAACTGTTGTTAGCCAGTACATCCCCCGCATTGGCAGTACAATTGATTCAGTACTTAGACAGTACTGGTTGTCAGATTTGTAATACTGCCACAGTACTGTACCCTTGCAGAAATATCATACTAAGAAATATTGAAAAATTATTAATGATTAAGTACTACCAATTCAGTAATTTAGTAATTTTTTGCCAGAATTTAATTTTTCTGGTAAATACTGATAATAAAATCACTGTTAAATATTGATAGTAATCAAATACTGCAAATTATTGTGCAAAGGTGAAAAATGAGAAAATTATAGTATTATACAAAAATATATTTATAATTTTTAATTTCCTCATGTCTTATAAGCTAGGAACCGAAGATTGTTAACAACACGTTCCAAACTTTCGAGAATCCTCCCTCGGTAATTTCGATCTCAAGCAGTAATACCAGTCATCCATCCAGTTTTGACACCGTTAAAATGTTGCCTATCGATTAAAGTGTTGCCTATTTACCTGACGATCGAGCGGCACGCGGCGATTCCCGATGACTCCAACGATGTTCTTACGATTTAAGCTTATATAATATATTCTTATAATGTTCATAGTATATTATAACATACCTAGCAAACACCAAATAACCGTTATATAACTTTTATTTAGTGTTTGTTGGATAATTTATTAATAGATATTGAAGCAATATTCAACATGCAATAAATATTGATATAATGTAGTGAAGCAGTGATAATTACTTTTAGATTTTGAACAGAATGTTATAATGATTAATCCAAACAAAAAAATAAAAAATCCAAGAAAATCCAAATCAAACAAATCAAA